TTTCTCGATCGTTAGATCATGAGAAATGACAACCTTGCCAAGACCCAATACCTTAGAATGTGAGGCATCACCCCATTCAACATTGGTGGGCATAGATGGGATCTTGTGCACGTCCACCACCAAGTCCTTGCTCCCGGTCATATGATTTGTTGCTCCACTATCAAGCAACCATGATCCCCCACCGGAAGCAAACACCTACAAGAGATCAATGCTTGGTTTTAGGTACCCATTGAGTAATGGGTCCTTTGATGTTAGTAACAAGGGTCTTAGGAACCCAAATAGACCATTCAATGCACTCATAAGGAGAACCAACAAATTTAGCATAAACATGCCCATCACTAGCACGGCACAACATATAAGAGGGGTTAAAGTCGCCGGCTTTGTTGGGAGAGATGGCTTTGTGCTCTTTGGCATCACCACTCTTCCCATTGTTCTTCTTCTCCTTAGGAGCACCTTCTCCCTCCTTCGCAAAGGTTTGCTTGAGCGGAGGAGGTCGATTGGTCTTGCTCTTCTTCTCCTTGTTCTTCTTCTTGTTCTTGGACTTGGGTGAGAACCCAACTCCCTCCTTGCCCACAACTTCCTTTTGATTGCTCAAAAGGTCATTTAGGTTCTTCTCGCCCTGTATGCATGACACAAGACCTTTCTCGAGTTGTTCCTTCAACTTGGCATTCTCATCCACAAGATGCACATGCTCACAACATGGGTTAGTAGCATTTGCATTATCAATTAAGACCATGTGAGGAAATGTGGCATTTTCCTTGGTTAGCTTAACTTGGAGTTGAGCATGAGACTCCTTGAGGGTGGCATGAGCACCTTTCAAGACCTTGTGGGCCTTGTCAAGTACATCAAACTCCTCCGTGAGTCTAACATGATCAACCCCAAGTTTAGCCTTCCCGGAAGCTAGAACAGGAGACACAACAAGAGCATGCTCAAGATCTTTCTTTAGTTTAGCATGACCATCATTGTGTGACTCCTCAAGAGCCAAATGATGCCCACGCTCTTCCTCAAGAGCATTAGAGAGATCCGATATCTCATCGGCATAGTCACGACTATGACTTTCCATCTTAGAGATGGTTTCTTCGTGAGCCTCGATCATGTCATTGGCTTCACCAAGTTGTTCCAAGAGAGCAACAAAGTGCTTCTTGGATTTTCCCTTGAGCTTACTCATGAAGGACTCAAATTCATTGATCTCCTCATTAGACCCCTTACCATTATCAAAGTCATCTGTTGAAGGAGGGTTAGGAATAATGGTGGTTTTGATGTTGGGGGTTACCTTGTTGGTGGCCTTAGCCATGAGGCACTTGGCGGTGATGTTCTCGTTAGGTGCATCGAAGAGAGACACCCAGGGAGTTGTGACAATGGCAACGGATGCCATGGCCATTGTTTCACCATCTTCATCATCATCATCATCCTCACGGTATTCTTCTTGAACCACCAACCCGCGAGAAGGAGTCTTCTTGGTGAAGTTGTTCTTGTTGGGGAAGGACTTGGCTTTGTCTTTTCGGATGAACTTGCCACCATTGTCTTCCCGCTTCTCGTAGGGACAATCCGCAACGAAATGGCTAACATTGTCACAGTTGAAACAAGTTCTAACTCGTTGCTTCCCCTTGAGCCCACTTGAGTTGTTCTTGTTGAAGTTAGGTCTTGTATTCTTCTTAATCCAAAACTGTCTTCAGGCAAGAGCCATGTGCTCATGATAATCATACTTCGTGTCCTCGGGGTTGCTCTCCTCATCTTCCTCTTCTTCTTCTTCTTCCACACTAACCTTGGCCTTCAAGGCAAGATTGGGCTTCTTTGCCCTTTGAGAACGGAGCACCGCATTGTCGGCGGTCTTGTCCAAGATGCTCATTGCAACAAACTCATCCAACACTTCACCAGAGGTCATGGAGTGGAAGTTCGGTCTTTGGCGAATGATGGAGGACATGGCCTTGTTGTAGGGCATCATGGCCTTGAGAAACTTGCGCTTGATCCAGTTGTCATCCGTGTCCTTGCTCCCATGATCTCGGAGTGTGACCGCGAGTTTGGTCACTCTTTGAAAGAGCTCACGAGGTTCTTCATCCTCTTTCATTGCAAACTCATCGGCTTCATCTTGCACCACTTCATAGTTGGAGCGTTGAATGCTAGCACTACCTCGATAGAGAGACTCAACACATTTCCATGCTTATTTATCCATGACATGAGGTCGAAGATGAGGGAGATCTTCGGGAAGGATTGCATCTTGGATGATGAAGAGAGCACTCTCATTGAATTGATTGTCCACTTCTTCTCGAGGGGTGAAGTTGCTTGGATCATGAGGATAGAAACCTTCTTCAATAATTCTCCAAAGGTTAGTGTTCACATGTTTTAAGTGATGCTTGAAGCGATAAACCCAAGAGTCAAAATCTTGATTTTTCACATATTTAGGAGGAGGACCGGCATGATTCAAATGAGTAGAGGGGATCGGTCCTCTATACACTGGGGGTTCCACATTGGCAAAGATGCCGGTGCCATTTCTACCACTAGTAGACGGACTCTTTTCACTGTTAGCTTCCCCCTTGTTGGAGGTAGCATCCGTCACCTTGTTAGTGGGATCACCCACTTTCATCGGCGAGGTTGATAGTTTAAGTTCGTCTAAGAAATCAGAAAACATGCTTTTAACCTCGGTCGTCATGGAGGTTTTCAATGTGTCTAAAAGCCACATTGAATTCCTCACGAGAGACCGAGGCTCCCCCTTCGGCCGTGGACGAGATGGGATTCACACCGGAGTGCTCCTCCGCATCATCGTGGGTGTCAACCATACTCTTCGGACGGCAAAGTCCTTAATAAAGAGACGAGGCTCTGATACCAATTGAAAGGATCGATATGGTTGACTAGGGGGGGTGAATAGGCAACTAATAATTTTTAGACTTTTCTTTAACAATTTAAACCTTGCAAAGAAATAGGTTGTCTAGATGTGCAACTACGTGGACAACCTATATGATGCAAAGACAATAAGCACACAAGCAAGCAATGGATATAACTCAAGTAAGCTTGCAAAAGTAAAGGGACAAGAAAACCAAGAGTGGAGCCGGTGGAGACGAGGATGTGTTACCGAAGTTCCTTCCTTTTAAAGGGAAGTACGTCTCCGTTAGAGCGGTGTGGAGGCACAATGCTCCCCAAGAAGCCACTAGGGCCACCGTAATCTCCTCACGCCCTCACACAATGCGAGATGCCGTGATTCCACTATTGGAGCCCTTGAAGGCGGCAACCAGACCTTTACAAACAAGATTGGGGCTATCTCCACAACACTTGGAGGCTCCCAACAACACCATGAAGCTTCACCACAATGGAGTATGGCTTCGAGGTGACCTCAACCATCTAGGGTGCTCAACACCCAAGAGTAACAAGATCCGCTAGGGATAAGTGGGGGGAACCAAATTTCTCTTGGTGGAAGTGTAGATCTGGGCCTTCTCAACCAATCCCGAGCAAATCAACAAGTTTGATTGGCTAGGGTGAGAGATCGGGCGAAAATGGAGCTTGGAGCAACAATGGAGCTTTGGGGGAAAGAGGTAGGTCAACTTTGAGGAAGAAGACCCCTTTATATAGTGGGGGGAACAATCCAACCGTTATCCCACTGACCAGCCCCGCACAGAGCGGTACTACCGCTAGGGAAGGGCGGTACTACCGCTCCGGGCGGTACTACCGCTCAACCCAGCGGTACTGCCGCGCTGCCAGGGCCCTGACCCCAGGGCGGTACTACCGCTAGGGAAGGGCGGTACTACCGCTTAGGGCGGTACTACCGCTCCTACTACCGCCCTTAGTGCCGCAAAACCCGTCACGAAAGACTTCGTTCGAGAATCGAGGCGGTAGTAGCCCAGACGCACAGCGGTACTACGGCCGAAAACCCCAAGCGGTACTACCGTTCGGAGAGCGGTACTGCCGCTGGGAAGCTTCGGCGGTACTACCGCTGTGGGTCGCGGTACTACCGCTGGGGCAGAGCAAAGCATAGCAAGGGGAAAACGGCAGCTCCAGTGAAGCGGAAAGAAAACGACGGGTGTGATATGGATGTGTACGAGTTGATTCCACCCTAGTCTTACCAAAGCGGATCCCCTCTTGATAGTACGGTGACTCCTACGGGACTAGTCCACCAACAAGGAAACGAAGGAGCTACACCGTCTTGAATAAACCACCGAGGGGTGAAAATCGTCTCGTGCCAAAGGATGAATCTCTGAAAGAACTTAACGCACGCGATTAGTCCGCACAAGCATTGTCATCAATCACCAAAACATCTTGGGGGTAAATATGCCCTTACATCATCCTACCGAAGGGAATTAATTCTAAGCGGGGAGCAGGAAGGGGGCGGGGATGGCATATTCAGCAAAGCCACTAGTCAGACACCTAAGTAGTGTATTGGGAAAGGGGTAACAACCCACTTCCCACACTCATGTGTTAGGGAGGCATATAGAACCCCCCCCCCAAGAGCTCCCACATCTAAGGTATCGTATATATAGCGTGTCATCTTATTCATGTGGTATGAAAAATTGACTAGAATTGGCGGTAGGCATTGATCCTTAGGATGGATTAAAAAGTGAAAATATGAATTGAAGAAGGCAATATATCCATACAAGTATTGGCTGGTGTGTCATCTATTCGTAAATAGTGAAGTATTTTTTTTCTTGAAAAATAATACAATGCTACAAGAACTTTTGGAGATATGTTTATGGAAATGAAAAAAAAGGAATTCTATATTCTTACAAAGTTCATCCCCACTACAAGCAATTATCTCAATATGTTAATCTGATAGTATGACTTGAGATATTTTTTCATTAGAAAAGTTAATTTAGATTATTTGCAAAATTCCTCGAACCATTGAGTTAGTAATTAGCAAAATAAATGTTAGGGTGCAGTAATGATATTTTATAGCTACATGTCTCTTAGTGTTTTCGCAGCAACGCATGGAGAATCATCTAGTATCAAGTATGTTTTATTGTTCCTCCATCTCACTCTAACAAATATTTATCTCATATGTTATTGTTATGTAGGAGTTACAATGGGATTATTTGGCTTAGTGGTTATCATCATGGCAACTATTTTCTCAAGACAAACGATAAGTCAAAAAAGGAGACTAAGTAAAGTAAAGCAGGAGTATTTTCACCAGCATGGAGGCTTGATTTTGTTGGATAGGATGAGATCGGAGAAAGGTCTTGCTTTCACGGTATTTTCAGAAGTTGAACTTGTGCATGCTACTAACAACTTTGACAATAGTAGAATACTTGGAAGAGGGGGCCATGGAACGGTTTATAAAGGGATAGTGAAGGACAACATGCAGGTTGCAATTAAAAGATGTGCACTAGGTGACGAAAGGCAAAAGAAAGAATTTGGAAAAGAGATCCTCATTTTGTCCCAAATCAATCACAAGAATATAGTGAAACTCTTGGGTTGTTGCCTTGAGGTTGAAATTCCAATTCTAGTCTACGAGTTTGTCCTAAATGGCACATTATTCGAGCTTATCCATGGCAAGAAGCACAAAATGAAAATATCCTTCGGCACTCTCTTAAGAATTGCTCATGAAGCAGCCGAAGGACTCAACTTCCTGCATTCCTACGCGTCTCCCCCAATAATTCATGGTGATGTGAAAACTTCCAACATCTTGATTGATGGTAACTATATGGCCAAAGTGTCAGACTTCGGAACCTCCATATTAGCTCCATCTAATAAAGAGCAGTTTGTCACAATGGTTCAAGGTACTTGTGGTTACCTTGATCCTGAATACATGCAAACATGCCAGTTGACAGATAAAAGCGATGTGTATAGCTTCGGAGTTGTCCTTTTAGAGATCCTCACGGGCCAATTACCACTGAAGCTCGAGGGCTCTGAGAAGCAAAGAAGCTTGGCACTGATTTTTCTGTCTGCGATGAAGGAGAATAATCTAGATGATGTATTGTTGAGCCACGTGAAAGTCCAAGAGAGCATGGAGTTGCTAGCAGGACTTGCAGAGCTGGCTAAGAAATGCCTAGATATGTGTGGCGACAAGAGGCCATCCATGAAAGAGGTCGCCGATGAGCTCAACAGATTGAGGAAACTTTCATTGCATCCTTGGATACAAATCAACATGGAGATGGAAGTAGAAAGCCTTCTTGGTGGAGAATCAGTTTGTGGCCATGAAATAGAATTAAGCGGGTATCCTACAGGAGAAAATAAGAACCAAACCATAAACCCAATAAGTTCTTATTATACTATAAGTGGGTAAGACAGGTATTGTACTCCATTGAAGGCTATACCTTGCATGCTTGAAGTGTTTAAAAGCGTTCTCTTCTAGAAATTTTTCTCTCGGCATCTCGAACAAGGATTAAGCTTGTTACCATCGACACTTTATTTTCAGGTTAGCATTGTTGCATCCACGTGTACTTTAATTCGCTTGTGTATACCCATTGTAAGAGCTTGCTAATAGTTGACATGTCATGTAAAGCTATATATTGTAATTACTCATATAATAAGGTTGGCTAGCTATACGACTAGTGCATTCCTTTTTCATCTTTTCTCTTTCTCTTTTTCTAAATTTATTGTATTTTCCTAGAAGCATGTATAAATGCAGGTTGTTGCATGATAGCACACTCCCCTTTTCTCATGTCTCTCTCTCCTACTCCCTCCGTCCCACAATATAGGATGTCTTTGCAAGCTAAAACATCTTGCCAAAATGCTTATATTATGAGACGAAGGGAGTACATTTGAGAAAAGCATCACGTAAGCTGGCTATAAGAGCAAGGATAATGATAGAGTCAATTGATGGCTATATCTTATTGTCATGCCATCTAGAGCCAATCTAATAGGGGAAATGCCACATGGAAGCTAACCTCCATGAAGGCCTTAATTTGAAAACTTTGAAATTCAAACATTTAATACACCTGAGGCGGCCAGTGGGGGCCTATATTTTGGGGAAATTAATATTTTCGGGGACCAAAAAAATTAATAAAAATAGATCGCAAAGTTCATGAAAAGACGGAGTCAGAGCCACCTTAGGTGTCCAGTGGAGGGCCTAAGGGCCCCACACGGTATGTTGGCGCGGCCCAACTGGGGAAGCATTGGCCCCACAGTTATCGCCTCCATTGTGTCTCGGTATCAAAAAAGTTAAAGCATGCATTTTTTTATTGTCTATTTTCATTTAAAAATGTTCAACGTGTATCAGAACAAATCGACGTGTATAAGAAAATTTTTAAATGGGTATTCAAAAAAATTGACATGTATTTGAACAAAAATGTTCAGCGATGCGAACGGGTAGAACAAGTCGACGACGTCGTCCTTGGGCTCCAATGGCGGCTGTGGCGCAGCAAGACGCGGGAGGCCGGACGTAACCAAGCTAGGGTGCCAGCGCCATGCTCTCTCTCTCTCTCCCTC